TCATTTATTTGGTTATTCACAGAAGCTTTCAGCAGGCAATGTGGTAACACAGCCTCCACAGACATACCAAAATCAGCTGTAAAAAAAAGAAAAAAGTTCCAGTAGTCAACAGGCAATTTGTTAACCCAACTTTGCACTTTTAAGGCCGTATGACAAATCTTTTGGTGGGGGTCTGAAAATGATCTAAAAAAAAAAAAATTTAGCAGTTCAAAATCATGCCTTTGAACTGTATTACATCAATACAATATACAAATGTAGTTCAATTGAGTTTGGAGTTTTGTTTGTAAAGAAACCTTGTTTTCTGTTTCATAACATTATTGTGAACAAACATCTAAAAATAGTATTAACTTCTCAAACTTCCCAAAGTTAGTTTTCAAAAGTCTGTTAAGGTTCTAAAACCTGTAATAACTCTGTGGCAACTATGGCAATAAAATCTTCTACTTACAGCTTAGAAAACTAGGCATGCTAGTACCAGATTCCATGATGACACCAGGTGTACGTACAGCATATCAACAGATGTGGGCTAACAATGGCGATGCTATCAGTAGACAATATGCCGGTACTGCCGCATTAAAGGGAGATTTCACAAGAACTGGAGAACGGAGATTCTCAGGAGTAATGAAAGATGGTTACAATTCGGCTAACAGATACATACAAAACAGATTTAAAGATGCTTATAGACAGGTTGCAATAGGTGAGTCAAGTTTAATTCATGAAATCTGAACAGTCATTCGCTCTGAGAGAACTTTGAAGGACCACATTTTCCTCATGGTATACATTACTTGCAAGTATACTTTATTGCCACTCAAAAAGCTGTCACTAATGTACCATTTCGTATAAGTTACTGTGACTTGCAAACAAGTTAAATGTTGAATGTGTTCCTCTATATCCAGGCTTTTGAAAAAAAAATAATTTAAAAATTAATGAATCTTTTGAGTAAGATAACAGACGGGAATTTGTAAGAACCCCAGTTAAATGTACAATGCTATAAAATGAAAGTATATCTTTGTATGCAATTTAAACATTGTTGTCTTATTAATTGGTTGTGGTTGCCATGTGGCAAACATTCAAATTTGTTGTGTAAACAATGTATCTTATCTAAGTAGTATCAAACGTGAATTGTAATGACTGTCCCTTTAAAGCGCTACAATTGTTTTACAACGCACGTTCAAATTTTGTGTAAACAAACACTTTATTTTACACGCATTGTACATGTCCTTATGGGTTCTAAATTGAACAAGATGTGGTACAATGATTGTATCACTTTAAAATTTCATAATTATGTAATTGTTTGTTTTCATCTGCAGATTTGATGCTTGGTAATCCAGTTACAGAAGACTTATCATTACTTAATGCAACAAAATCACCAGAAAATGAAGAAGATGTTTGGATTTTAGAAAAAGAAGACAGTGTTAATCAACTGATACAACATTGTAAGAAATTGCTTCTACCCCAAAATGAAGAATGTTTTGGGGGATGGGCGCTCATTGACTGTGATCCACCGTAAGTATAATAATATGATCATTTTCAAATTGGTGATCTTTTGACACTGTGAAAAACAAATTTTCTTTAATTACGTGAGTCAGCAAACAATTTTTGAATATTCGTAGCAGTGAAAATTACTACAACAGTGTCAGCTCCCCTTGCAAAATTTTGTTTTCACGAATGCCGTAAAATTCTCAAATTGTGGAAATTTCTAGCAATGAAAAATAAATGAATACAGATACATTATTTTATGGTGGCACCGTCTGTTGTATTCTGTGCTACGTGTATAATAATATGATCAGACAGTACGCCGTCGCAACAACCTCTGCTGTGAGTCAGTTGATACATCTGCTGTACTGTCTTCATGCATACTTTGAGGTATCCCCATAATAACCTTATTATTATACATCTTCCTTCCAAGGATAGATCATGGGAATGCTGAAATCCAAAAAGTTTAGAACAGAATCAGTGAACTTCTTTGTGTGGAGTCAGGTCAAACCCTGGTGGAAGCCATGATTGTTTTTATTATTGAAGGACGTTTACTCGCGTAATCATTCAATATTTGGAATTTGTATTTCCATAGTAGAATGAAAATACTCCGCAAAATTACGGCATGCTGTAACTTATGGCGTTCCGGTTACAGATGTATAATAATGTGTGTTATTCTCTTGTCAGGGAAAACACTGATGTAATGCTACAAGATATGGATGTTATATTACTACTGACTCAGAGAGCTTACTACATTGCTAGGTAGGTCCTGCATCCTGTATTATCAGGGTGACTGCTGGTGGCCGTGTGTCAAAAGTTAATATTTCTAGCATGAGCAGTAATACTGACCTAGCTTGTTCATTTATCTGGTGTTTTTTTAAGCTGGTGAAAATGTTGATGTATGGTCTGTCATGTCAAATACATTTTGTATGCTTGGGTGCTTATCTTTATGTTGTTCACTTTATTCTCAGGGTTGAAATTGCTGACCCTTTTTAAAACCCAACAACCCTATTATTCCCAACTCTTTCAATTTCACTGATGATTTTCTAGGTACATGTAATTATGATGTTGGTGGTAGTGGTTGAAATTCTGACAGAGAAAGAATGAAAGCAGACTCTGAAAATTACTATATTTTAGTGATTATTTTAAGCTATTGGAAGTGCGAGGTTCCCTTGCTGTCATACATTAACATACTTTTTCTTTCATGGGGTTTGAGCACATTTGTTCTTGCAATCACTGTGTCAATGTAGATTTCTAATAACTTGTCATAGCAGTAATTGTATTTTTATCCATTCCCCTTTTCTAATATTCTGCTCTGTTCACCCTGTTCCTTTGTAGCCACATGTCAATTATGTGAGTAAATTCTCCTCCCTTCATTCTTCATATTTTGCATGTCTTCAACTAGTTTTATTGTCACAGTATGCATATGCTTTGTCAGTTATCATATCCCTCTGAGCTGAGAAATAGCTGTCATCAGTAGAAAACATTTGTTTTGTTTGTATGTGCATCAACAACTTTCTGAGAAAGTTCTAATCTCTGTAGACTAATTATTGAAATGATTACAGAAAAATGTTATTACTAGTATGTAATGAAAAGCAACTAATCAATAAAAATTGTGATTCTCACTACCGAGTAATACCCAGGAAAAACTATTCGATAAATATATCGATAAATCTCAGATGTTTCATGATTATCCAAATGTTGATGAATGTCATCAGTGCCAACATGTTGATGAATGTCATCAGTGCCAACATGTTGATGAATGTCATCAATACCAACATGTTGATGAATGTCATCAGTGCCAACATAGTGATGAATCTCATCAGTGCCAACATGGTGATGAATCTCATCTGTACCAACACGTTGATGAATGTCATCAGTGCCAACATGATGATGAATCTCATCAGTGCCAACATAGTGATGAATCTCATCATTGCCAACATGGTGATGAATGTCATTTGTGCCAACACGTTGATGAATGTCATCAGTGCCAACACGTTGATGAATGTCATCAGTGCCAACATGATGATGAATCTCATCAGTGCCAACATGTTGATGAATCTCATCAGTTCCAACATGTTCATGAATGTCATCAGTTCCAACATGTTCATGAATGTCATCAGTTCCAACATGTTCATGAATGTCATCAGTGCCAACATGTTGATGGATGTCATCACTACCAACATAGTGATGCATCTCATCAGTCCCAACTTGTTGATGAATCTCATCAGTGCCAACATGTTGATGAATCTCATCAGTGCCAACATGTTGATGAATCTCATCAGTGCCAACGTGGTGATGAATCTCGTCAGTGCCAACGTGGTGATGAATCCCATCAGTGCCAACATGGTGATAAATGTCATCAGTGCCAACATGTTGATGAATGTCATCAGTGCCAACATATTGATGAATCTCATCAGTGCCAACATGGTGATGAATCTCATCAGTGCCAACATGTTGATGAATCTCATCAGCGCCAACATAGTGATGAATCTCATCAGTGCCAACATGGTGATGAATCTCATCAGTGCCAACATGGTGATGAATCTCATCAGTGCCAACATAGTGATGAATCTCATCAGTGCCAACATCGTGATGAATCTCATCTAGTGTCAACATGGTGATGAATCTCATCTAGTGTCAACATGGTGATGAATTTCATCAGTGCCAACATAGTGATGAATCTCATCAGTGCCAACATGGTGATGAATCTCATCAGTGCCAACATGGTGATGAATCTCATCAGTGCCAACATGGTGATGAATCTCATCCGTGCCAACATGGTGATGAATCTCATCTGTGCCAACATGGTGATGAATCTCATCAGTGCCAACATGGTGATGAATCTCATCAGTGCCAACATGTTGATGAATCTCATCAGTGCCAACATAGTT